TATATATATATATATATATATATATATATATATATATACACACACAGAAACAATATCCTCACTGCCTTCAGAACACAGGTGCTACACCATCGCCATTTGTTATCCGAGGCAAAAGTAAGGAGAAATTTAACTTAGGGCACTTTTAAACTCAAACACAGCAATATCACTATAAAACAAATTTTTATTTCTGCCTATATGGGATGATAGAAGAAGCAACCTTAGAGCAAATAGTATTATTCATGTAAACAAAGCATACATTTTGAGTTGTGTAACTATAAGGTTATAAGTGGAAGGTTAGAGAGTAAGAGAGAAGAATACATAAAATTCTTGGCAAACTCAAAAGCAATTTGCTAAACATTATACTAAAAATAAAGTACCTTGCTTACAGTAGAGGGTGGTATTCATGTCAACAAAAGAATTTTCAAGAGAGTTGTGTAATTACAATGTTACAAGTGAAGGGATAGGGTGTTATTCATGTAAACAAACCAAATTTTCAGGAGAGTTGTGTAACTAAAAGGTTATAAGTGGAGGGCTAGAGAGAGAGAAGAATATAAAAAATTCTAGCCAAAATCAAAAGCAATTTGCTAAACATTATACTAAAAATAAGGTACCTTGCTTAAATTGTAAATATCAAATACTTACAGCTTAAAAATACTAACAAAAATATCATCTCAAAAACTGTAACTTACCTCAGCAAACTTTTAACAGTTGAAAAGAAGCTAAAATTGGGAATTTAATAGTTCGTATGAAACCACTTTTACTTAGTATATATATATGTACACACATGTATATACAGGTTGTACTTACAAATTCTTGGTGAACAGGTTCTGCTTCTTGCGAGTAAAGAGGCCGCATTCCAAACTTTATTTTTTTTTCTGTTTCTTCAACTATTTTCTTCAGGTCTGTGATTTGCTTGCCAATTTCATCCTGTAACTTGCTGTTTTCCAGTAAAAGTGGGTCCTTGTGACCATCTTTTTCTCTTTGCTTTTTTCTCATCATTTCTCCTTGTGTCTTACGCAACCTCTCAACTTCAGCCATCAGCAAGTTCAATTGTTTCCGTAGCTCTCTCTTCTTGTCCACCAATTCTTTCATCTCTTCTTCAGTCAAATCAACAAACTTTTGGTCAGGTTCTACTTTAATTTCAGGTTTTGGTGCATACACCACAGGATTGCTCTGGATATTTGAATCCAAAGGAATAACTCTGAGGTTGGAGCGAGGAGGACGTTGTGTATACTGCGATGGCAAACTTGGAGGAGGAACAGAAAGAGAGGGTAAAACAACAGGTTGAGAGTATGTAGGGATCACAGGAGGCATGCTGTAAGAAGAATATTGGTACCCTGGGGGAGGGAATGATGTAAAAGGTGGAGGAAACAAGTGATCCTGTGGAACATGACCACTTGTTGGTGGTACATGTGATTCTTGAAAATTAGGTGGTGGATAAGTAGTTGGAGGCACTGGGTGACCAAAATCAGGCGGTCTTGGTAAAATACCACTTAATTCAGGATGTGTAGATAAACCACAATCAAAAAAGGATGAATTCTGCATTGTTTGGTTAATTCCATAAAGTTCACATGCTTCTGCATCCATTTTCTCTGGATCCATAGCCACAGGTTTGCCAGAGTCATAACAAACTTTATTTTGTGGACTTCTTTTTAGACTTGGGGACAAATGTTTAGGGGAGTGGTTCCAATGTTCTCTCCTGGGACTGATATCAGGAGACCTTCTAGGACTTTTTCTTCTTCTTTCCATATATTCTCTTTCTGGACTTCTTTCAAAGGAGTATTTCTGTTGAGGCGTGTCTTCGTAAGAAGATCGGGAACCATGCCTTCTATCCAGAGAGTTCCGCCTTGGACTTAGAGAGCTTCTTTCTTCCAAGGGGTATTTTCTGGAAGATTTTGTTTTCTTCTCTAATGACCTACAGAATCTTTCTACAGAGTTTCTTCTTAAAGATTCTTCACTAACCTGGTACCTTCCAGAAAATGGACTCCTTTTAAGACTTTCCAATGAATATCTTTCCCTTTCATTCATCTTTCTTCCCTGAAATTCAAAGCCAGAGGTTCGACTATATTCTGTATAATCAGGGCTATACTCTCTTCTCTCTAAAGATGTTTTTCTACCATTATCATAATCAGGGCTATGATCTCTTTTTTTGACTGAGGTTTTCCTACTAACATCATAACAAGGACTATGTTCTCTTCTTTCAATGAATTTTTTTCTACCAGCATCATAAACAGGGCTTAGCTTTCTTCTCTCAAGTAATGTCTTCCTGTCAATATCATAACTAGGACTAAGTTCTCTTCTTTCAATGAAAGATTTTGAACCAGCATCATAATCTGGGCTAACCTTTTTTCTCTCAGCTGAAGTTTTCCTTCCAACATCATTTGCAGGACTAAGTTCCCTTCTTTCAATTGACATTTTTCTAACAACATCATAACCAGGGCTACTCTCTCCTCTTTCATATGAGGTTTTTCTATCATCACGACAAGGACTCAATTCTCGTCCTTCAAGTAACATTTTCCTAGAAGGATCATAGACAGGGTTAAAATCTCTTCTTTGAAGAAAAATTTTATCACTAACATCATAACCAGGACTATGTTCCCCTCTTTCGAGGGATATTGTTTTATCAACATCATAATCAGGGCTAAGTTGTTTTCTTTCAAGTGAATTTTTTTGAGCAGCATAGTCTATTGAAGGACTTAATTTTTTTGCTAACCTGATTATTTGTTTTGAATTTTCAGGGCTGTATTTCTCTATTTTTCTTAAGTAATTATGTTGTTCATAACTTCCAGGTTTGCTTTCTAGACATTTGAGATGAGCTAGTTCTTCTTTTAAAGCTCTCAACTTTTCTTTAGACAAATCTTCATAAAGTGTTGACAAAGAACTAGTTGTAGCTGTCTGCTTTCTGTTTTCATATTCTCTCATATTTTGGTTTTTTATGTTTAAATCCTTAGATCTAAATAAGCTGTATTGAGGTATGTCAGATTCAACCTTTAGATGCTTGTTTTCCCTGATGTCATCCATCTTATGTCTTTGAACAGAAGAATACAATGGGGGACTATGAGAATCTTCCAATGATCTGGAATATCTTGAAGGAGAATGGTGGCCTATTTCACTTTCTCTTTCTGAAGATTCCCACATCCCATACATTTGTTTTTCTGGCAGTTCTTTAAAGCTGCTTCTTTCTTTATCAGGACTTCTAGCTCTTGAAAAATTGCATTTGTCTTTTGGTAACTGCAAGTCTATTATTAAATCATCATCAACTGATGCACTCCTATATGAAGATGAAGGTTTTTGAGTTTCAGATTTAGTGCTTTCTTCAAACTCAGACTGTTGCTTTCTGTTACTGAAAACAGTTTTATAGTTTTCATCTCTCTGTACTGGACTGGGAGTCCTATTTCTAGTGTACATACCTCTATCACTATTTTGAAAGTTATCCTCTTCATCACTCCACCCACTACTTTTTTTACTTTTTGTAATGTTATCAAAATGTTCTCCAATTCCTGGACAAGAAGATTTTAAAGAAGTGTGTATGCTACTTTTGGAGGTACTTTCACTATCACCATACAAAAACTCTTCGACATCCTCCTCATCATCAAAACCTAGGCCTGGGATTTGAAGAAAAGAAAAACTTTCTTCTTTCTTTGGAGCACTTTTAATTATAGTTTCAGTTCCATAACTTTCAGAGTGCTCATCTGTTTTACGAACTTTCAAAATAGATTTAAGAGGCTTACTGCTAGTAATGGGTTGGAAAACAGAAATTTCTTGTTTTCTTCCAAACATATCTGGTTCTTGACAAACCTTTTCTTGACTCAAGTAACTTTTGGAGTCTTCTACGATCTCTCTGGATAAGATATTTTTCATACTTTTAACTTCTTCCTCTTTTTCTGCATGAGGACTATGATCACGACTGTAACACTGCAATGCTTCTAATGCTGAACTCTTGTCTGTGCTACCAAAGTTATCTAATCCAAGTTTCCGTTTCTCCATCATGGCTCTCTCCAATAGCTGAGTTCGAATGTCATTTTCTTTTCCAGATTCAATTTCGTATCTGTTATCCTTCTTTTGTTTCTCACTACAATCTAGTTCATCATCTGAAAAAATTGGCATATCCTTAGCTGTTTTTAGTGGTCTATTTTTCATACTTTCAATTTCTTTGATTCTACACTTATTATCATCCTTCCAAGTAAGAGTCATTTCAGAGCTCTCCATGGATTGAGTATGGATTTTCTTAATGTCAACATTTTCTTCTTCTATACTTCTAGCAGATTTCGATGAAGGCTAGATTGGTGATAATAGAAATAACATTTTTATAACTGATATAAATAATTTAAGAAAAAGTATTCAATATAATAACAGAATACTATAATATGCACAAAACAATATATACTACCATGACAAATAGGTTTTCTTTATTTATCGCAGGTTATATGGCACACTCAAAATGTAATTTTAAGCTTTCATTTACCATGAAAGTTATTTAAAATGCACTAACAAAACGAAATACACATAGAAGTCCATTACTGATATCATTACACCACGTATCTACATCCATTATAATCCAAATATGGTTGTGCAATTACAGTAGTTTCATATGCAACCAATTTTCAAGATCTCAAGTCAGGTTACAGATTACCTTAAACTTCATAAAATGTACATGTGGACAAAGTAATGAATAATACAAATTTTCAAATATTTGTATATTAAAATAACAATTGAAAGTTTCAGGTGTCATATATTTTGAATGATTTGTAAAATAAACTACTACTTTAACAAAATCTAATAAAACTGTAATCGGCTTTAAATGTTTGACTTCACATAAATTGATCTAAGCATTTCATAACAGAACTTATGACAAAACATGAATATACTTTCCCAAATTTACGACCACTAATCAGACACGTACAGTCCACAAACGTCATCACTACGAATGCCCATGCCACAAATGTTTAGCTCAAAGATGTGTGCTAGCTGCACTGATGTACGATGTATACAGCATGTACAGCCTATCATGCCTAACAAGCAGTTTCTACGTGTAAAATTCCCTTGTGTAGGTATTTTGGTTTGAAAATTTTCAGGTCAAGAAAGGGCCCGAAAAGGTAGCCAAGGGGCAGTCAGAAACATTGGTTGAACAACTAATAAGGTTGTAAAGAAATTAAAATTTTTAAGATTTTTGAGGAACTTGATGAAATAATGTGAAACTTAATGTTGTTGAAGTATGAGAGACTGATTCACAAGCATAGTTGGTGAATAAGGTAAATAAGGAGAGTTGTATACATCAGGGGTAAACCAGGACAACGGTGAGCTGGAGACAGGAAGTTTGTTTAAAGAAAGAAAGAGAGTTTGATATTGAAACTGAAGAAGGCTGCTCGCTGTATATGAAGGCTTGAATATAAAAGGTGGCTGTTGACATTGATGAAACAGACTGCAGGTGTAAAGACTGAAGAAACCAAGGATAGCCAGTTCAGAGTTGACACACATTGTATAAATAACAGTAATAATTAGGGTCTCAAGTGATTGATTAATTCTTGATAGGGGATGAATACATCTAAAACTAGCAAAGATAGCATAAATGGACTTCAATTCCTAAAAACTTTTAATTATCAATATTTTCACCTTATTTTCTAATTCCATCATCAACATGAAACAGTTAAAAAATAATTAACTGCTTTTTTAGGTGGAAGATTAGAAAAAACACATTAAAATGACTAAAAGGTTTAAATTTAACATTATACGCCGGAAGAAACACAAGCATGCTGAGGAACAAATAAATCAAATAATTTAAATCTTACTATACTAGGATTTGTTCAAATGACACAAGACAGCCACTTTTATTTTCCATTTTCAGTGCTTCTTATGTACCTTGAGCTACTCATTAGTAAACAGGAATCCTGTTTATGTAAATACATTAACAACGTAATGGTGTTATGTCTTGTTAGACTTAACTGTCCATGCCTAGAAATTTCTGACACTGTTAGCTCTCTCGATATGGGCTCAATCAATCTACCCGACCAAGTGACCTCCTTGTACTCATTAAAAGTCTTTATAGGTTTAATACTTCTAACTTTCAATATAGTGTGTGTGTGTGTATCTTCACAAAATTTGGCAGTCTTTCAGTTAACATTATAAGGCTTTCACATACAAAAAATAATATTTTAAGTGTAGTATTATTAATAAAATAAAATAAAGATTGTCCATGAATGTATTCAGCATTTGTTTTGAATAATCTGTGTGCAAAGTGATTTTTATGTTAAAATTAAAAGCACTTTATCCCAAAAATATCAAATTTCTAAAACCTCCTAAATACATTTCAACTGTTTGTTTTCAGTAAAACTTTAAATTTTATCTGTGATTTTCTCTACCCTAACTCTATACAAGGTTGGTCAATTTGACTGATCTCATACCCCCCCCCCTCCAAAATCTAATTTACCCTCTTTTTCCTTTCTAGAATGACTTCAAATGTAACATGAAACTACATTTGTTTATCCTAAGTAGCTTTAAACTCATGACAGTATATATCTATTTATAATTAATATTATTGTTTTATTGCCCTTTGAACTATGTCTAACTACTATACGCATCATTATAAGTTGTAAATCACTTGGGGAACATGCTGCTCATGTTACACTATCTAATTACATTACCCACGAGCTGCTCACTTGCATGCTTCTTGAAACATTATTTTAACTAATCTAATCTTAACTAACCTAAAAAGATCCCTATTTTTACATTTCAGTTACTTTTATAATACTAAATAAAGAATAAACGTGAAATAAAGTGTTTACCCAATCTTCTATTTTCTTGTTGTTGAGTGTCGATGACACTTAACCATACTTTTTTATACTAATGTTAGTAATGCACAAAATTTTTATTTAATTAAATAATGAACCAAAGAACATAGAATAATAATATGCAAAAAAGTAGACAATTTCCCCTAACTATCAACATTTTTATGGCTTTCAAACTATGCGACAAGAACCATTACAAATTCATCCAAGCTAGTTGTTAGTTTTCCCACAGGAATGGAGAATGTGGTCTGAGTGAAATTTACAATTGTCTATTCAGAACACAATGTTATACAATACAAGATTTCATAGATGAAAACCTTGACTTTCTATTGGTTATAGGTAATATATAATCAAACGTAAGAGAGAACTATCCTGAAAGAGAGAATGTGACAGGTGATTGTGGCAGGAGGGGTCTGATTTTCTATTTGATGGCTCTGTAACCAAACAAAATTGAAGGATATAAAAATTATGGTTTGTCTGAGCAATGACAATTTTATAGTGAATAATTCACATTTAATTTCTTAGTTTCTGGGGGAGGGGGTGAATAAAATAGAGATGAGAAGATACCTAGAGAAAATGTGTCACACTACGATAAATTCTAGATTTTTTTAAATATTGCTTTTAAAATGCAAAACTTAAAACTTATATACCATTAAAATAAGGATTATTAGCTTAGATTTTATGCTATACTGATTGGTATAACAAACAAAAAGCAGTTTAATACAATTTTGAATGTCAGACACTAAAACCTTGCATCATGCGCAGTAAAGGTTAACTCAGGTTGAGAGGTTAAGATGAGCAAGTTATTCACCAATCAACATTTTTTTGAAAAAATAGTGAAGAACGAATGTTATCTTGCTTTAACTTTTTTTTTTCAATATAGCAATCTTTCCCTAAGTAACACTGGTAGCTTGTAAAAAGTAACCAATATATTAATTTAACTCTCTCACTACAGGCTCAGTCGATTCCACCTAAAAATTGACTCCAAATTAACCTTTAGTCTCCATACTTTTTTTTTTGTGTATCTTCACAAAATTTTGCAACCTTTAAGTAATCATCAAGAAACATTTGTAGACACAAAAACAGAATTTTAAATGACGTATTTCCACAAAAAATTTCACCATGAATATATGGAGTCAGTGTTTTCTGCTCCAAGTGCAAAGTGATTTTCATTTTAAGATTAAAAATACTTTTCCTCACGTGAAAAATATCAAATTTAATTTGCATAACCTCTAAGCCTCCTAAATAAATTTCAAACTTTATTTATTTTCTCTACTCTAACTATTAGAGGTTAGTCAATTAACTATAAAAAATATGAAATAAATCCAAATTACCTTTTTTCTTTGAAGAATGACTTCAAATTGTAACATGAAACTACACTTGTTTATCCTAAATGGCTAAAAACTCATAACAGCTTACATCTATTTCAACTTAGGTTTCATTGTTTTATTGCCTTTTGAACCATATCTAACTAATATACCCACCACACAAGTTGAAAATCCCTTGGCAAATGTGTAGCTCATGTTACCCTATCAAATCATGTAAAGCATGAGCTACTCGCAAACATACCTTGTGAAAAGTATTTATTATTAATAACCTAATCTAACCTAAAAAATTTCTAATTTTTATATCATAGTTACTTTTGTAATAATAAGTCAAAAATACACATGAAAAACAAGAAATATAGTACTTACCATAGTCTTTTTTTTATGCCTTCAACTGTCAATTAAACTTAATCCTACTTTTTTATACCATTGGTACAACTGCACTAAATTACTTTATTTAATTAAATAACATACCAAAGAACAGACTAATAACATGCAAAAAGCAGAATATGTCCTATAACTATAACAATTTCTCTGGGTTTCTAACTATGCAATAAGAGCCAATAAAACTTCAGCTAAGCTCATTGATGTGTTTCCTGTGGGAATAAAGTTTGAACTAGAATTGTACAAGTCGGTTCCCTGTACAGAAAACAATGTAATATATCATTGGTTAGATTAAAATTTTGGCTTTCTATTGGTTATAAATGTTAACATTTTCTTAAATCAAAAATACATTTCCCATGATACTTACCTCCACTCACGCTACAGCTATTACTCGACTGCCAGGATCTCTTCCTTCTCCCATATAAGGATTGCTCTTGGTGATATTTGTCTCGTGACACTCTTTACCTATGTCAATGCACGCTCTATCCTAGTACTGTATGTAAGCAAATCATTCAGATAATGTTATCACTTTTTCGAGACTGATTCAATCCACAGTCTCTTAATAACAGCTTTTAGGGGAATAAAAGGGCGGAAGAGTGTGAAAGGAAGTAAGTATTATTGGAAACACATTTCTGATTTAAGAAAATGTTAACTTCCAAAACATACCTACCTCCTCTCACACTACAGCTAGAATCCCACATTGAGAAGATGGAGAGGCCAGTGAGGGCATTATCCATACAGAAAGTATCTGCATAGATCATGGGTGTGCATAGAAGATTGGCAC